GGGTGTGAGAAGAATGTGCTTTTCTTATGCTAGTAGCTTTGTGTACTTTTTGCAAGTTTTGAAAGGAGAGTGGTGTGCGGGAAGACATGAACTCTGAATTTCAGCTCTGGTTCTTCTGTTTACCCTCTGTGTGCCCTTGATTATGTTACCTAATTTCTCCAAGCCTCAGTTTTCTCATCTGTACAATGGGGGCAACGGTACTTACCTCACAGGGTGAATCATATGAACATAGTGTCTGGTAAGTGATAAGAAACTTATCAAAGCTTCCCTTCCATCACACTAAGATAGATTACAAGCAGAAATAAGACTTGGGGTCTTAATATGCCATGCCATTAAATCGACATGCTTAGATTTTCTCAGCCTCATTTTCCTCATAGGGAGATTGGGGTGACAATGATACCCCTTGATGATGAGGAATCAGAGTTTTGACCTCCCATACAAAATAAAGATTAATGATTTCATCGTCTGTGTCCAAGAAGTTTGTTCTTCCACCTCAGCCTAGACCAGAGGGCTCTGTGAGACCCTCTCTCCCTTCTTGGATTTTCTTCTCAACTAGAGCTTCTGCCTCCTTTAAGGGACAGACTGGCCTGCTCAGGCCTGCGGCCACCATGGCCCAAGGTAACGTAGCCTTCTCCGGCCACTCTAAAGCAATGCCAGCAAGTCCAGAGCACAGCCAGCTTGCTGTTGGCAGGATCGCCTCAGAAACAGCATCTAACAGATGCAGCTGCCCCCGGCAGAGTGGGGCAAGCGGCGGGGCTTGCTCCGGGAAGCTTCACTTGTAGGTGGGGGAGCCTCTTCATGTGAAAATGTAGTGGTGGCACATATTATTCTAGGAGTTAAAGAAAAGTAAGTTTATCGCCTTGGGGTAGACAATGCCTTCTTAAGTCACAAAAGGCAGAGCCAGCAGGGAAAGACTGATACATCTGATTATAGTACCCATTTCAAAGTTTTGTATAAGAAAAGACATCATAAATTTAAAAGACAAGCAATGGGCTTAGACTGCAACACGTATAACAAGTCAAGGACTGACATCTAGAATTTTAAAAAACAAAATCATTTAAATCAAGGGGAAACAGCAGACCATAGGCATAAGGTATGGACAGGCAATTCAAAGAAAACAAATAAATGGCCCATAAATACATGAGAAGATGGTAAAAAAATCACGGCAATCAGGGAAATGTCAACTAAAATGATTGCCTGAGACTGTTACGAGTATTACCTGTAGTACTGGATGAAGAACTTAGTGATAAGAATAGGAAGAAACAGACATTCTCATGAACCGTTAGTAGGATGTTATTTGGCAGTATAAAGTGAATATTAAAATGAACTGTCTACTGCTCAGACAAGACCACTTCTCAGTATCTACTTCATAAACACATGTGTGCACAAAGAGGTGACTATAAAGATTTTTAATACAGCACTAAGAACAAATGAAAAGCTGGAAAGGGTCCAAGGTCCAATGATGGGTAAATGATTCAATAAACCAGTTTGCCCAGACAAATGAATACTATGCAGTCATTAAAAAGAGTTCCTTTGGCATGTACTGACTTGGAAAGATAAGTTATTAATTTAAAAATGTTGCAGAACAGTCGTGTGGTATCATTTGCTTTTTTAAAAAGTCCTTTTCTAGACACAAGAGCACACATGGAAGGCCACTTTGCAATTTGGGTTGTATATATGTCACTCTTCCTATCTTTACTCCATTCTCAATTCCCTCTTGATAGCAAGTCCACTCTTACCTGAGATGCATAGGGTGAAAACTTTATTCTATACCCAATGCTCCTCCTGGAGCATTTATTTCTCAGTCCTCATCTTTGTCCCCTACCTGTCTCAGAGAAGGAAGAGTGCTTATCTGGCACGCAATCTCAGGTAACAATACAGTTACAACAGAAGAATGCACTTAGCACAAAAGCTGTCAGTCCCACATTCACAAATGCAAACCACAGAAACACGAATCTGCCTGTTCAAACCATCTCCCTGGATGTGTGCTCTACCGAGCACAGGAAATTCAACAGCAATTCAGAGAATCAACAGTGTCCAGGTACTTATTTTACACAACAGGATACGACCCAGGTGTCACTCATGTAAAACCAGACACGTATTCTCTTACACGGAGCTTCCATCAAAAACCACATGAGCAACAGTTTGCTTTTCATGGCAAGCACCAATTTAGGGAAATTAAACCTTGTCTTTTATTTACTCAGCTATGTAAATACAAATTTGCAGGTCAGTAATGAAAGAAAAAGAAAACACCTCAATTTTAGAAAAGAAGAAAGTGACTCTCCTCAAGTTTCTGCCGGATCTCATCTAGTCATATTCTGTAAAATCCTGGGAAGAAAGTGAGGCTAGAACTTGAGCAATCATTGTGTCCGGGACATCTACTGTTTCCTTGACATTAAAAGACAGCCAGTTTTCCATGTGAACATCTACCTGTTGCTCTAAGGCAATGCAAGAAAGCACCTAGCTAACAAGAACAGTGCAGAAACAATCTACAGATGAATAACACGAGGGGGGCACGGCGCTTAGAACTTGTCAGTCTCTGGCACAAACTTCTTACAGGCCAGTCTTCTCTGCGGTCTGCCCCTGCCACACCAGCGAGGGCTGTTTGTTTTCCTAAAACTTGGAGGAGGCGGTAAGAACGGGGCAGACACGTTTGTAGAAGCGTTTCAGGGGCAAAAACCACCCCCTGCAATATGTTTCCTTTCCTCCTGCCTACTTTCAATAGATCTAACAAAACAGTTAAGCGGAGTTCAGGGCAAGCAGATGTAGCTTTGACAAGGCATTTTAATCAGAAGCCAGCTCTTTTGGACAGTGCTGGGTGAAGGAAAGAAGCCCCTTATGCGTGACTCCGTGTCCTAACAGTCCCCGAGAGACGGAGGTTCCACAGCCGGGACCTCTCAGCTGCTTCTCTCCTCCCCCGACGCCTCCATCACCCACCCAGCCCAGGCCTCTGTGCGCGTCCCGGTCCCCGGCCTCGGGGTGCTGGGTTCGGACAAGCCCTGGGGAGGGAGAAGGGCTGGGTCTCGGCGGAGCACGGCCCAGGGGCCCCGGCGGGGGTCGTGGGACCGAGCGGGCGCCCCCGCCGATGGCCCGGGGAGCCGCGAAGGCCAGGAAAGGGGCCGAGGGGATGCAGACCGTCCAGCGCCAGCATGGAGGGGAAGTCCTTGCAGTTGGAGACACCGGTGGAGTCGGTAACGCACGTCTTCCACAGGTTGGCCCAATAGGTGGCAGTGGTGATGACCGTGCCGTCGATGGTAGACACTTTCCAGTAGTCGGTGGGCAGCGTGGAGGACACCAGCACCCAGCCAGAGATGGAGACCATGAAGGCGATGATCTCCGACGCCGTGCTCGCCATGCCGCCCGATGCAGCCGCGCTAGAGCTGGAGCTGGAGCTCTGCGCTGCGACCCCCGCGCGCCCTGCCCCGCGGCTCCGCCTCCTCCCCGCCCCGCCCGCGGGCCCGGCGCTAGGGGGCGGGCGCTGACCCGGGGACGCGTCCTCGGTGGCCGGGGGGCTCGCGGGGCGCTGCTGCGGCCGCCGCAGGGGTTCTCTCCCGCCCCGTAGCCCGGCGCCCGCGGTCGGGAGACAGGCTGGCCTGCGCTCCTCTTCTCCCCGCGCCCCGCATCTCGGGGGCCGAGGGACCGCGTGCAATCGCTCTCCTGTTGGACAGACTGGCAGCAGGTTGTCCACATCCGGATGCGTCCCTCCCTCGCTCCTCTCCCCAGCCCTACCCACGGGCACATAGCTTGCTCTCCGGAATACCTTGTAAAAGCAGAGCGGAAAAAACCTTTTGTGTGCCCCGAAAGGACCCAGCCCGGTAAAGCCGCCCTCTGGCTGGCTCACCGAGCGCTAAAGGTTTTCAGGCCACGCTTGCTTGCTTGACCCTGTTCGGCTTGTCAAAGAGGGATCACTGCAAGTTCTGGGCTCGAAATCGGTTTTGCCCTAAAATTTTGCGGTTCTTTTTGGCCGGGAAATATGCACAGAGTCAGTGTAAAGAGGTGCGTGACGCAAACAGCATATGGTGAGCACAGGCTCCATCAGAGCTCTCATTGTGATCTCGATCTCGAGTATTCCAGCCACAGTTGCTGGCTTTTATTAATCAGTGCACTACACATAGGACAGGCATTTAAGACATCTTTCCTGTAGGTACCTTCCAGCTTCCAGTTCTGTGCGTCTATTCTAGAAACTGATGGGTCTGCTAGGGTGGAAACTTTCTGTATCTTGTTTCAATTTTTTCCCACCTCCACCTTTTGCACCTAATTGAAGAATAAGTTCATTGCTGTCTCAAGGTACACATAAAGAGCAGGGTGTACTTTCGGCTCCGGAGGTCACAAATCTGGGCATAAATGAAAGAACAAAGACACTAGCTTTATTATGGGGTTATTATTTGTCCATTTAAAGTTCTTGCCGTTCTTGGTATGAGCTTTTACGATTCACTTCTTGCCAAAAGTAACCAAAGGTCTAAAACCTATAAATGAGTCTGCTACAAGAAAGCTAGTTGCTAACCCTCTTTCACAATCTTTATGCAGGGGCACTTCGGTTTGTGTGAAGAATTTCTCAATTCCCCTTGGTCACTATTTTTTTTCAACCAAATATGTATAAAATGAAATTAGAGGTGCTTAGATGTTTATGGAGAAGAAAGGCAGTTGGACGACAGCATTATCAAAACTTAATTTGGAAGGACCACTGAAGACCATTAGGACACACTCCACATTCAACACAATTGTCCTATTTCTAGAGATAACAGTAGTGTAACATTCAGGACCACCAGTTCAGTGCATGGCAGGTGTGTGTTCTGCTTTTCTTTTGTGGTGTCTTGACAGCCTTTTAGATTGTTCTTTATGTTGAGCTCAAACCTGTCTCTCTTCAGCTTCCACCCAAATGCCGTGGTCTATGCTGAGATAACACAGATTAAGTTCTACTCTTGGGCCAACACAGCGGCCCTTGGGAGGTGTGTCTGTGTGTGCGTGGCCCTCTGAGGGCTTGTGTGAATGGACATAAGGGTGAAGATGGCTGACCTGGTGGCATAAGCCCATGGTTACACCGCTGTACTGCTCTTGGTCCCCACTTGTCCTGGCGTGTCATATTGGGTTCACAGATGGGTCAAGCTCAAAAACAGTTTGGGAAGCATCTACCTAACTTCATCCTTCTCCTCTTTGCTATTCAAATCACTCACCTCTGAGTTGACTACAAAGTGTCTTCTATTCTTTTGTATGATTTATCTTTTTAAAGTGCTGTTTTATGGTCTGGTTTCTTGCCCTCCAGCATATTTTCACTGTTATTTTTATGTCATCGTGCTTTCTGATGATCAAGCTATTTTTAATCCAATTTACTATTCAGAACACACAAAACGTCGTGAACTGGGGCATTCCCTATGGTGTTTCCTAAAATTAAAAATTGCAGAAATTTGGTTTTGGACTTTATTTCCTGGCTTTGTTTGACAGTTCCTTTGTTGGCTTCTGTCTTCCTGGTAGTAGGTACTTGNCAGCATCTAACAGATGCAGCTGCCCCCGGCAGAGTGGGGCAAGCGGCGGGGCTTGCTCCGGGAAGCTTCACTTGTAGGTGGGGGAGCCTCTTCATGTGAAAATGTAGTGGTGGCACATATTATTCTAGGAGTTAAAGAAAAGTAAGTTTATCGCCTTGGGGTAGACAATGCCTTCTTAAGTCACAAAAGGCAGAGCCAGCAGGGAAAGACTGATACATCTGATTATAGTACCCATTTCAAAGTTTTGTATAAGAAAAGACATCATAAATTTAAAAGACAAGCAATGGGCTTAGACTGCAACACGTATAACAAGTCAAGGACTGACATCTAGAATTTTAAAAAACAAAATCATTTAAATCAAGGGGAAACAGCAGACCATAGGCATAAGGTATGGACAGGCAATTCAAAGAAAACAAATAAATGGCCCATAAATACATGAGAAGATGGTAAAAAAATCACGGCAATCAGGGAAATGTCAACTAAAATGATTGCCTGAGACTGTTACGAGTATTACCTGTAGTACTGGATGAAGAACTTAGTGATAAGAATAGGAAGAAACAGACATTCTCATGAACCGTTAGTAGGATGTTATTTGGCAGTATAAAGTGAATATTAAAATGAACTGTCTACTGCTCAGACAAGACCACTTCTCAGTATCTACTTCATAAACACATGTGTGCACAAAGAGGTGACTATAAAGATTTTTAATACAGCACTAAGAACAAATGAAAAGCTGGAAAGGGTCCAAGGTCCAATGATGGGTAAATGATTCAATAAACCAGTTTGCCCAGACAAATGAATACTATGCAGTCATTAAAAAGAGTTCCTTTGGCATGTACTGACTTGGAAAGATAAGTTATTAATTTAAAAATGTTGCAGAACAGTCGTGTGGTATCATTTGCTTTTTTAAAAAGTCCTTTTCTAGACACAAGAGCACACATGGAAGGCCACTTTGCAATTTGGGTTGTATATATGTCACTCTTCCTATCTTTACTCCATTCTCAATTCCCTCTTGATAGCAAGTCCACTCTTACCTGAGATGCATAGGGTGAAAACTTTATTCTATACCCAATGCTCCTCCTGGAGCATTTATTTCTCAGTCCTCATCTTTGTCCCCTACCTGTCTCAGAGAAGGAAGAGTGCTTATCTGGCACGCAATCTCAGGTAACAATACAGTTACAACAGAAGAATGCACTTAGCACAAAAGCTGTCAGTCCCACATTCACAAATGCAAACCACAGAAACACGAATCTGCCTGTTCAAACCATCTCCCTGGATGTGTGCTCTACCGAGCACAGGAAATTCAACAGCAATTCAGAGAATCAACAGTGTCCAGGTACTTATTTTACACAACAGGATACGACCCAGGTGTCACTCATGTAAAACCAGACACGTATTCTCTTACACGGAGCTTCCATCAAAAACCACATGAGCAACAGTTTGCTTTTCATGGCAAGCACCAATTTAGGGAAATTAAACCTTGTCTTTTATTTACTCAGCTATGTAAATACAAATTTGCAGGTCAGTAATGAAAGAAAAAGAAAACACCTCAATTTTAGAAAAGAAGAAAGTGACTCTCCTCAAGTTTCTGCCGGATCTCATCTAGTCATATTCTGTAAAATCCTGGGAAGAAAGTGAGGCTAGAACTTGAGCAATCATTGTGTCCGGGACATCTACTGTTTCCTTGACATTAAAAGACAGCCAGTTTTCCATGTGAACATCTACCTGTTGCTCTAAGGCAATGCAAGAAAGCACCTAGCTAACAAGAACAGTGCAGAAACAATCTACAGATGAATAACACGAGGGGGGCACGGCGCTTAGAACTTGTCAGTCTCTGGCACAAACTTCTTACAGGCCAGTCTTCTCTGCGGTCTGCCCCTGCCACACCAGCGAGGGCTGTTTGTTTTCCTAAAACTTGGAGGAGGCGGTAAGAACGGGGCAGACACGTTTGTAGAAGCGTTTCAGGGGCAAAAACCACCCCCTGCAATATGTTTCCTTTCCTCCTGCCTACTTTCAATAGATCTAACAAAACAGTTAAGCGGAGTTCAGGGCAAGCAGATGTAGCTTTGACAAGGCATTTTAATCAGAAGCCAGCTCTTTTGGACAGTGCTGGGTGAAGGAAAGAAGCCCCTTATGCGTGACTCCGTGTCCTAACAGTCCCCGAGAGACGGAGGTTCCACAGCCGGGACCTCTCAGCTGCTTCTCTCCTCCCCCGACGCCTCCATCACCCACCCAGCCCAGGCCTCTGTGCGCGTCCCGGTCCCCGGCCTCGGGGTGCTGGGTTCGGACAAGCCCTGGGGAGGGAGAAGGGCTGGGTCTCGGCGGAGCACGGCCCAGGGGCCCCGGCGGGGGTCGTGGGACCGAGCGGGCGCCCCCGCCGATGGCCCGGGGAGCCGCGAAGGCCAGGAAAGGGGCCGAGGGGATGCAGACCGTCCAGCGCCAGCATGGAGGGGAAGTCCTTGCAGTTGGAGACACCGGTGGAGTCGGTAACGCACGTCTTCCACAGGTTGGCCCAATAGGTGGCAGTGGTGATGACCGTGCCGTCGATGGTAGACACTTTCCAGTAGTCGGTGGGCAGCGTGGAGGACACCAGCACCCAGCCAGAGATGGAGACCATGAAGGCGATGATCTCCGACGCCGTGCTCGCCATGCCGCCCGATGCAGCCGCGCTAGAGCTGGAGCTGGAGCTCTGCGCTGCGACCCCCGCGCGCCCTGCCCCGCGGCTCCGCCTCCTCCCCGCCCCGCCCGCGGGCCCGGCGCTAGGGGGCGGGCGCTGACCCGGGGACGCGTCCTCGGTGGCCGGGGGGCTCGCGGGGCGCTGCTGCGGCCGCCGCAGGGGTTCTCTCCCGCCCCGTAGCCCGGCGCCCGCGGTCGGGAGACAGGCTGGCCTGCGCTCCTCTTCTCCCCGCGCCCCGCATCTCGGGGGCCGAGGGACCGCGTGCAATCGCTCTCCTGTTGGACAGACTGGCAGCAGGTTGTCCACATCCGGATGCGTCCCTCCCTCGCTCCTCTCCCCAGCCCTACCCACGGGCACATAGCTTGCTCTCCGGAATACCTTGTAAAAGCAGAGCGGAAAAAACCTTTTGTGTGCCCCGAAAGGACCCAGCCCGGTAAAGCCGCCCTCTGGCTGGCTCACCGAGCGCTAAAGGTTTTCAGGCCACGCTTGCTTGCTTGACCCTGTTCGGCTTGTCAAAGAGGGATCACTGCAAGTTCTGGGCTCGAAATCGGTTTTGCCCTAAAATTTTGCGGTTCTTTTTGGCCGGGAAATATGCACAGAGTCAGTGTAAAGAGGTGCGTGACGCAAACAGCATATGGTGAGCACAGGCTCCATCAGAGCTCTCATTGTGATCTCGATCTCGAGTATTCCAGCCACAGTTGCTGGCTTTTATTAATCAGTGCACTACACATAGGACAGGCATTTAAGACATCTTTCCTGTAGGTACCTTCCAGCTTCCAGTTCTGTGCGTCTATTCTAGAAACTGATGGGTCTGCTAGGGTGGAAACTTTCTGTATCTTGTTTCAATTTTTTCCCACCTCCACCTTTTGCACCTAATTGAAGAATAAGTTCATTGCTGTCTCAAGGTACACATAAAGAGCAGGGTGTACTTTCGGCTCCGGAGGTCACAAATCTGGGCATAAATGAAAGAACAAAGACACTAGCTTTATTATGGGGTTATTATTTGTCCATTTAAAGTTCTTGCCGTTCTTGGTATGAGCTTTTACGATTCACTTCTTGCCAAAAGTAACCAAAGGTCTAAAACCTATAAATGAGTCTGCTACAAGAAAGCTAGTTGCTAACCCTCTTTCACAATCTTTATGCAGGGGCACTTCGGTTTGTGTGAAGAATTTCTCAATTCCCCTTGGTCACTATTTTTTTTCAACCAAATATGTATAAAATGAAATTAGAGGTGCTTAGATGTTTATGGAGAAGAAAGGCAGTTGGACGACAGCATTATCAAAACTTAATTTGGAAGGACCACTGAAGACCATTAGGACACACTCCACATTCAACACAATTGTCCTATTTCTAGAGATAACAGTAGTGTAACATTCAGGACCACCAGTTCAGTGCATGGCAGGTGTGTGTTCTGCTTTTCTTTTGTGGTGTCTTGACAGCCTTTTAGATTGTTCTTTATGTTGAGCTCAAACCTGTCTCTCTTCAGCTTCCACCCAAATGCCGTGGTCTATGCTGAGATAACACAGATTAAGTTCTACTCTTGGGCCAACACAGCGGCCCTTGGGAGGTGTGTCTGTGTGTGCGTGGCCCTCTGAGGGCTTGTGTGAATGGACATAAGGGTGAAGATGGCTGACCTGGTGGCATAAGCCCATGGTTACACCGCTGTACTGCTCTTGGTCCCCACTTGTCCTGGCGTGTCATATTGGGTTCACAGATGGGTCAAGCTCAAAAACAGTTTGGGAAGCATCTACCTAACTTCATCCTTCTCCTCTTTGCTATTCAAATCACTCACCTCTGAGTTGACTACAAAGTGTCTTCTATTCTTTTGTATGATTTATCTTTTTAAAGTGCTGTTTTATGGTCTGGTTTCTTGCCCTCCAGCATATTTTCACTGTTATTTTTATGTCATCGTGCTTTCTGATGATCAAGCTATTTTTAATCCAATTTACTATTCAGAACACACAAAATGTCGTGAACTGGGGCATTCCCTATGGTGTTTCCTAAAATTAAAAATTGCAGAAATTTGGTTTTGGACTTTATTTCCTGGCTTTGTTTGACAGTTCCTTTGTTGGCTTCTGTCTTCCTGGTAGTAGGTACTTGCTAAAATTGTTCTTTCATTTTTTTGTTTACAAGACAAAATCCTAACTTACCCCTGACACAAAAAGGTGTAGAATTATGTGACCTTGAAGACTCAAACAATTCCTAATTTATCAACAGGCTTGTTATAAATTTCATTGTTTGGAACCAAAGGTACATTGTTTGTTTGTTTTAAAGAGAGAAGAATGGTTTGGTGTTTTTGACCAGTCCCTAAAAGTTTATTTAACAGATAACATAACTTTACCTATTGTACTTAAAAATTCATAAACCCAGATAATCATTGCAACATAGCTTCCAGAGGAAACAACTTCTCCATTCCAACTTGGAACTCCAAGAATGACTCTCTTTGCTGTGTCACCAGACTGTTCAAGCCGGAATCTCTGGGAGTGGCTCTGAGAGTAGCTCTTAAGATTTTTCCAAAGCTTCTAATATACAGCCAGTGTGGAAACCACAGCTCTGACTGGTTGAGATTCATGTATTTGTGTATGAACAGCTAATTTAGCAAAACAGATGGGGTGTATTATAGAGAGAAAGACTATTAATCTCTTGGCTGAAAACTTTGAAAAAAGAAATACTCTCTTACTGTAAAATTGTAACACAATTTCAACTTAGAAGGGTTTGAAAAATACCACAAGCAATCCATAAATTAAGACCTGGCTGGCAGCACTATTAGTTCCTTTGCCAGCAGAAACAAACCAGGGTCGTCATGCCTATGAGCTTGATTAATTTTCTTTTACTTTTATCCTTTGTCTGTTCTGGCATTTTTCTTTTTGTTTCCTGGCGTGTACTGCATATTTACTATGGAGAGTTTTTTTGTAAAGCTCACAAATGCCTGTCCAAAGGATGAAAAATGTTAACTTTCTTTAATACCTGCAGAATATTATGTAATGAATCAAGCATTTATTTTAGAATGTCTTATTTATTAAGCTTTTCAAAACCAATTTAGTCAGAAAAAACCTAAGCATAGGACAGATGGCCACATAATCTAACATACCAATGTCCAGAAAGCAAAAAACAGACTGAACTGAGAAATTTTTTTTCAAAGTAGTAGATAAATGGCTCATTTCACTTTAAGACTACAGAGTCTGAAATAACCTTTGCAGTTAATCTGCAAGCCCATTTTCAGAGTACCTGTCAACTGATAAATGCTTCTTTATTTTCCTTAGGATTCAGTTCACTGAAATTTTTATTTAACTATTCAAAGCAAATATTCCTAATATAAATATAAACATGAATACAGCTAGAAAATTACTTCTGCAAATTATTCAAAGTAATTAACAGTAATTTTTTTTGCACAAAAACTGTCATTTTTTTCAAATATGGAAACTACTGATTTATCTTAAATTAGTAAATTTGATCTGAAGACATTTGATGTTCTGAAATATATTCTGAGCTTTTCCACATTTGAGATCTCAGCCACTGAGATTAGCCCTGAAAGTTGTTTCTTTGGCATTACCATAGTTATTAGGGAAAAATAGAGGATTCTTCCACCCCACACAGTTGTTCAATAGAAGTGAAACCAGTTTAGCCGACTGAACAGGAGATTTGCAGAAATTCTTTACTTGCGATTCAACTCACCTGCCAAACAGCACAGGTGTGCCTTTCAACAACTCAAGGATTTTCTAAGCATCAAATTTGGTTTCAGTATATATTAGCTCCTTCCTAGGTTCCAGCGAGGTGGAGTATGGCTAATCAGGTGGGAAGAAACTGAAGTCCTGATAAATGTGGTATTAACTGAAACAACAACTGCTTAGGAGCCAAATATTGTTACACCACTTTAAAGAAAACATTAATGCCAATACTAAGATAGTAAAATACCATATCTGTGTTCTTTTTCCGTCCATTTTCCCTAACCCTCTTAGTTTATCTTAATGCCCTACACTAATTCAATGATATTTATAATCTACTTAGCATGATAGCTACTGAGTTAATAAGCATGGCTATGGGAAGGACACTCATTGCTTATTGTTGCATCAGTGATTGTATGTGTGTGTGTGTGCATATACATATATATTATTTTGCAAAGTATAAAGAAACAAACAGTGCCTAATTCTGGCATTTGGTACCCTCTGAAGTTGTACTGCATCCAAATGTTTCAATGGGCCTATCACAAGTCGGTGCCATATATCTTGGGGATTTGTGTTTCATGCATTCATTTAAAACACACTCATTCCCAGTTCTAAGGTATCCTAAGACTGTCTAGATTCCCCTGGAGAGCTGAGAGCTGGGCCCCAGCAGACTCGAATATGCCTCCAGCCTGGAATGACTCTCACACTGGGATACCAGAACCTTCCAGGACTTGCTGGTGGATTTCCTGATCAGGAAGCATCTTAAGAGTATTAATTCAACCTATCCACTTAGACTGGACAGCAAATAAATCTGTTAGTTTTGGCTAAGCGATTTCATTTCTCTGAGCTGCAGATTCTCATTTGTAAACAACGGAGTTGTTTTAGATGGTCTTGAATCCTGCAGGTTCTATGATTCTTAGCGAACTCCATCAGTCAGAGGCGAGATCAACAAGGAGAGGAGAGAGGCAAGAGTTTTCTTTCAGTGTCCTCACCACTGTCTTTCCCACCTGCTTCCTGCCATGACTGTCCTTCTCTGCCATGTTTAAAGGGGGTGTGTGTGTGTGTGCG